TGTGTGTGTGTGTGTCCCGAGGGGAGGATGGGACAGGCTGGGCCCATCCAGCTGGAGAGAGATCCCAGGCCTTGCAGGCCAAGTGCCTAGGCTTGGGTAGGCACAGTGAGGGCTAGAGGAAGGTCCCTGGTGGTGCAGTGGTGAAAGCGCCCAGTTTGAGTGCCCCTCCTCCCCCGCCCCCACCCCCCACCCACGGCAGGTGAAGGAGCAGTCTGCTGCTGTAACGATTTACAGCCTGGGAACCCGTTGGCGGGTAGTGGGAGGGGGTCCTCCTGCTCTGTGTGACCCGTTGCTCTGAGTTGGCAGCGGGTTGGTCTTGACTGGGCTTCGTGTTGTTTATTCATCTCACAGACACCCACGGCCGGGCTGTTCTTTCCTGGCCCCGCTGGGCAGAGGCACACATGGCCCTTGGACCAGCCCCGGGCCCGGATTTTGCTCTGGGCCCCCCTAACTAGGATGCTGGTCACCCTCACTGGCACTTACTGAATGCTGACCTGCGTGCGTGTCCTGCGACAGTGATGGGGGCAGCCCTGGACAGTTCCCAAGGAGGAGCGGGAAGGAAGATGGCTCCACAGGAACACTTGGCCGGGGCCACATGGGTGGGGTATGGCATTGCTGGGGTGGGAATGCATGGGAGAAAGACGAGGCTCTCCGACCCCACCAACAGTTACGGGGCCCTTCCTTCCACCTGCCCTAGAGGGTCCGTGTGAGTCGGACCCACTCGACGTCAGTGAGCTTGGTTGCTTGGTCTGGGGTGGAAATGTAGGTGAGGTGACCCTCCCACCACCACACTGCAGCCCCACAATCCTGGGCAGCCTCCTTCCCAGGCCAGACTTCCGATGAGGCCCTGCCCTGGGGCACAGCCTGGAAGCATCTGAGGTCAGGCTCGTCCACGGCCAGGTGTGGACAATCACAGATCCCGGGGCGCGGAGGCCTCCACCCTACCGAGAGGCTCCGTCCATGTCCTGTCTCAGCCTGGAGCCCCTGGTGGCTGCCTTGGCAAGTCCTTCAGGGTGTCCCTGGAAGGGTGCTGAGGACACAGCTCCCCATCACAGAGCACCCACCCCCCAACGAAGAACTGGACTTTCCCTAGAGGAACTGAGGGGCTTCCTCCTTCTGACCCCATGGGATAGAACTGACCGGAGCTTCCTTTTGGCTTCGGCTGCTCAAACAGCTGTCTTGTGCTTGTGGAGTTCACCTTCTCCCTGCGCTCGATGGTCCATCTCAATGTCTGCCTTCGACTTCCTGATCTCCGTGTCCAAACGCCCTTCTGTCCTCTAGCCATCCTCCCTTCTCTCTTTCCCACCTCCTTTCCGCCTTTCTCTTTTCTCCCTCCTTCCTTTGTGTCTGTCACTCCGCCATGGCGGGCTTCTGTAGAAGAGGAGCTACGTGCGCTGGGGGCCTGCCCCTTAGCATCTGCTCAAGAGCATACAGGAGAGACTCAGACCGCGTGTGAGCAGCTCTGCTGGTGATCCGAGGGGCAGTGGCAGCAGCCCCTGCCAGGGGAAGCCTTGGCTTGTCGGGGGTCTGAGGAAGCTTCGCTGGGGGGGGTTCTGAGGAAGCTTCGCTGGGGCACAGCCCGGGGCTGAGGTCTGAGGAGGGTGGAGACCTAGGGCAAGGGGGGTGGGGAGCACAGGCCCACAGACAAAGGAACAGTTGAGGTCCTACTGTGAGAAAGGCTGACAGAGGCGGGCTGGGGAAGTGGAGAGGCGCACAGAGGGTGTGCTGGGATGTATCCAGAAAGCAGGGGTCAAAATGACATCCTACCTCATGGAAATAAGGGGTGGGGCCCAAGCGACGCCATCCCGTCCTCAGTGTAAGGTGTGTGTGTGTGTGTGTGTGTGTGTGTGTGAGACAGAGACAGAAGCCCTGTTGAAGCAGGGATTTGGACCCAGCAGAACTGCCTGCCTCCTTTAGGAGAGACTGAAGGTGGGGGCGGGGCCTGGAGGCAGAGAGAAACAGGCAGGACCTGATGCGGATGCGGGAGTGGTTGGTGCAGTGACAGGGGTAAGGGGTAGGGGGTGGAGGGGCAGAGGGGCGGGCAACACCCAAAGGGGTGAAGGGTCTCAAGAAAATTCTAGTGTCTTCACCTCTCTCAGCCTCAGTTTCCTTCCCTGTAAAAGGAGAGGGATGATAGCATTCAGAAACACCAGTCTTGGTTCTGAAGCACGGAGCTGGTCAGGTGGAACTCCCAGTCCCAACACCCCCTCCCACCCACCCCCAGCCACACACACACACACGAGGGGCCTCCTAGCCAAGTCCAAGATCAGGCTTCCCAGAGCTTGTCTACCTCCCACCCCCACTGGAGCCCCCAGCCTCAGACCCACCCTCCCCAGGAATGGGGAATGGCGACATAGAGTCGTTGACAAGCCATTAGGGCCTGGCGTCCCTGCCCAAGCATCCAGCCCTCCCCTCCTGCTCCATCACGGATTTAATGAGGCCGTGTTACTTTAAAAGCCAGTGGCTCTCCCTGCTTGGGGCTCCCCAGAGAGGATCTTACCCAGAGCCCATCAGGACCCCTGATGAGCAGCAGGCCCCCCACTGGTGGGGGCGGTGACCACTGGGGAAGGCTGGTCAACAGAAGCCCTAGGGATAGGGTTCTCTCAGCCCACCTCAGCATGCAGCCTTAGTTTTTCAAAATTGGGTGGGGGGGCTGTGTGTGAAGCTAAGATCTTCAGCCTCAGTTCCCATGAAGGAGGGCCAAGGGGGTGACACCACAAGGGAAAGTGATGGATGGAAGATATCTACATTCTGGGCCTTGCTTTGACTATAATTGGCTGTGTGACTTTGCATGAGTGAATGTCATCCCTCGCTGTACCTCAGTTTCCCCATCTATAAAATGGGTGTGTTTATTTGGGCCCTCTGATAAGGCAACACCAAGGTGGGATTCGATGTGTAAGAGCTGAATGTGGGGGGCGGGGTTGACCCTGGATGGGGATGTGGGTCTGGCTGTGGAAGCAGGGATGTTGAGCAAGGCTAGGGGAGGGAGGGAGGTCACACTGTCAGCCTGGGTGAGCTCCATCCAGGGCCAGATTGGCTGGTGTCACGTGTCCCTCTGGCCACACTGTTAAGGCCAAGATGTAAGCTGAGGCTGGACGCAGGCAGGCCTGGACAGTTGGGGTAGGGAGTTGGGGCTTTGTCCTGTGGGCGCTGGGAGCCACTGAGGAGGCAGCAGGTCCAGGATGGTTTTCCACTGCCTCCGTTGACCGGGTGGATCTGAACGGGAAGAGGTTGGGGCAAGACAGAGAGGATGAGGCTGGGGGCTGGACCAGACCCACCCATCCCCAGGACCCTCTGACCAGGGGTTTTTTCCACCCGAGCAGGCCTGTCTGGCCCTCCCAGGAGATGGCTCTTACTTCTCCTTTCCCCGACGGCTGGCTGGTGTGTGGTGCAGGACAGCGCCCAGCTCGGGCTGTGGGACTCACCACCGTGGCCACACTCTGCACGCCCAACCTCGGCCCCGGTTCCCCTTCTCGACATCCAGGCAGAAGGAAGGCTTGGCTTCCCAGCGTCTGCCCTACTCTTGGGCGTGTACCCTCCCCACAACCTGTAGCCCCCTCAGCCCTCACTGAGCCCAGCCAGCCCACCCCCTTCTACCCACCTACCCCACCCCCCGCACCTTCCTCTTCACAGTGATGAACCAGGTATTGAGCCCTGGTGGCCTGGTGGTTAGACACCGGCTGGCTGCTCTGTGAGAAAAAGTCTGCTTCCATACAGACCTACAGTCTTGGGAACGTGAGGGCAGCCGTGAGTTAAGATCAAGCAGACAGCAATGGGTTGGGGACTGAGAGTCTACACCCCCGGGTCGAATGAAGGGCCTGAACTGGGACAAGGCCCTCAGGACCCCATTGAAGGCTTTTTTAACAGCCTCTCTTTCTTAAAAAAAAAAAGAGAGAGAGAGCGAGAGAGAGAGAGAGAGAGAGAGAGAGAGGAAGAAGAACGCAATTGTTTCCTGTTTAATCACAAAAGTCGTAACAGATACCATTTCTCCAGTCGCCGGGCTGCTTTCCCATCGCCGCTCTGAGCCTGCTCTGGACGCAGCTTCATGCCGGTGCCCACGGCTCTGGTGCTTCCAGCCCTTCTAGACGTGGGAAGATCTGTGTCGATTGCTTTGTTTCCTCTGACAGAAACAAGAGGAGGGATATTAGTCATAGATTGCTTCCTTCTTTCCCCCCCCCCACCACATCATACAAGGGGGCTTCAAAAAGTTCCCGGAAAAAACTCCATGACCTTGTTGGATCCATTCCCCCACCAGAAACGTTCTGAAGCCCCTCGGACAGCCTCAGTGTGAAGTGGGAACTGGCGATCCGGCGTGGCCTGGCTCTGGTTCCACGTCTGAGAGGACTGCTGGATTGTTCCGGAATGGTGGTTTCTTCCGGCAGCGCGTGCCAACTGACACGGCTCTCTTCTGGCTGTGTTATTCTTGCCAGCAAGGCTGCCATGAACACGCTCGCATATGCCTGGTCACCGTCAGGGCAGGGTTTGCAAAGATAGAGGCAGAACGCCACCGAGGTCAGCGCTCAGACACAGGACCGGCTGACCCACTCTGCCACTTGCTGCTGAGAGACCCTGAGTGGGCAGGCCAGTCTCCCTGAGGTCCGTGTGGAGAGCACCAGTAGCTGGTCTTACTTTGCCCAGAAGTGGGTTGGTTGCCTAAGGTTTGTGCAGTGTTCCGATTCATGGAAGGTTTTGCCAAAGAGGCCTATGTCCTGCCCCACCCTGCCGCTCTCGGGACATCCTGGAGTCCGTATGGCTCGTAGCGATCCTATAGGACAGAGTCCAACCGCCCCAGTTTCTTAGGCTGTGGTCTTTATGGAAGCAGATCAGATGGTCAAGATCTCTCATAGCGGCTGGTGAGTTACAGCACTAGCCTTTGAGTTTGTTGCTCATCCTTAACCATTGCTCCACCAGGGGGGCGTCTAAAGAAGCAGTACCCACAGTGCTGGGCTGCCCTCTGATTCCCAGAGGTTAATAAGAACCTCTGCTACTCAGAATCCTGCCCGGGGCCTCCTGGATACTGGTCCTAGATTTGAGTTTCTGAGGCAATGGCACCAGAATCCCCAAAGCCAGCCCCCAGGCTGATGTTAATAAGAAGAGACCCGCCCACTGAGCCTCTGGCTGCTATTCCCTGATGGAGTGCAGTTGGCCAGAGTACCTCCAAGCCGTGTAATTAACCAAAGACCACCCCCTACCCCCACCTCAGACCGCCAGACCTCATCTTCCTTCCACCAAGTTCACTCCCCACACTACCGATTCCTCCCCACAAAAGGCTCTCTTTGTAACGTTGGGGAAATAGCACCAGCCCAGGGGGCCGGGCACACCTGCCTTGAACCATGCCCTCTTACCTGCTCATCAGGGTCTCCATGGCCCCTGTAGCCTCATCTCCAGGTCTAGGACTCAGGTGATATAAGCCCGCAGCCCCGCTTGCCTCCACCTCCACCCCAGCCCATGCCATGTGCAAGAGTTGAGGGTGTCTTTAAATGTAGTACCTGGGCTCCTGGCTGTGTTCCGTTTGCTCATCTGTATACTGGGGGTTCCAACTGCGGCCCAGAGATCTCAGGGATGAGAGAACACAGGGCACAGGCCAGCACTTGCCAAACTCCTGGGGGCTGGCTTTGGGGATTCTGGTGCCATAGCCTCAGAAACTCAAATCCAGGACCAGTATCCAGGAGGCCCCGGGCAGGATTCTGAGTAGCATTGTCGGGTCAGCACTGGACTGCTTGCTAACCAGGGGGTCCAAAGTTTAAACCTACCAGTTACTCCTAGACGCCCTTTGAGTCGGAATAGACTGGATAGCAGTGGGCTTGGTTTGAGGTTGTGCGTTGGGTGGGCGGTGGGTGCTGACAGCGGGCAGGGATTCACTGGGAGCCTGGTTTCTTTGCACGGTGTAGCAAGGAGCCCTGAGCCTCTACCTCTGGGCACAGAGACTGCGTCTGCTGCCCTCTCCCTTGGGTTCGTGTGAGGGCTGATATTATGGACAGGTAAGTTAGAGGCAGGTGTTCCTGCCTGTGGCAGGGACCAAGCCCCAGACAGAGGAGTAAGCCAGGGCCTGGAGTGGTGTGGGGGGGATGTGTGGGGGAGGAGATCAGCTACTCTCAGGAGAGAGCTTGCACACCAGTTTTATTTAACAAATCCTTCACCATCACAGGCCGGTATTGTCAGGAGTCCCATGATCAAAATGATGAAACTGAGGTTCAGAACCTCCCGGGGAACTTAACCTCCATGGCTCCCCCGTCAGGACACAGCTTGGGGGGCCCTGGGCCCAGCCCTCTTCTCCAGAGGCCTCTGTTCTGAGTTCAGCAGTCCTTCCCTCTGCATATTTCATCCCCTGCCACCCTCAGACCCAGTCCCCTGTGTGACTTGGCTCAGGAGAAGCCTAAAACTCTGGGTGGGCCAAGCTGCAGGTTCCCCTGCACCCACCCTGCTCCTGCCCCTCCCCCATGGTGGTGACAGCTGGGCCCAGGCCCATTAGCACTAATTCCATTAACAGCTCTGGGGTCTGGGGGTGGTGTGGTGCTGACGGGCTCCCCCGGGGCCCACCCCTCTTGACTACATGGACTCCCCCCTCCCACATCGGCCACCACCTTCCCCTCTCTTCCACCCGGAGCCCTCAGCCAACCCTTGAGGTCCTCCTGGGGACTCTGGCTCCCACTCTGATGTTGCCCTAATGGGAGTGGCCTTGGAGCCTCAGGGTCAGCCCAACAGCACCTGCAATAGCAATCAACAACTCCACCCCTTGAGGGGAGGCGGTCAGGGAACAGGGTGTGCTGGGCGCTGTCTGTACACAGTAGCTCATTCCACCCTCTCACCATGCTGGGACGTTAGCCAGACCCATCTGACGGCTGCGGAGACTGAGGAAGGTCTTAGAGTGGGCATCCCCAGCAGCAGGTCTTCCAACAAGATGAGGCGCTTGTAACAGGCACTCCCAGGAAGAGGGGGATGAGACAGGGAAGAGACAAAAGGCATGGAAGGGAGAGTCACCAAGCAGATTACCACTGTGGGCAACTAGGGCTCGACCCCTAGAGGACTCTGGGAGCTGGTGTCTGACATGCCTCAGGGTTTATCCAGCCCAAGGGTGAGTCAGTCCTTCTTGTCCCAGACTTCTGCCAGCATTGACCACTGGACAACCTCACATAGAAGGT